AACAACACCAACAACAACAACGGCTCCCGCCTGATACTTCCTCGCAAGGTATTGGAGGATCGCGCTCTCGCGCGGGGCTTCCTCACAATGTATTCAGGAATCGCGCTCTCGCGTAGGACTTCCTCGCAATTCATTCAGACGGTGCGTCCTCGGCGCTCAGGAATCACGCTCTCGCCGTCCCCACGATACACTTGGGAATCGCACTATCGCTCGAGACTTCCTCGCGATTCATGCAGGACCCACGCTTCAGCAACCCGCCTGCTCGACCTGGTCGCCTGGGCCCGACTTCCCGACCTGCCCACTATTTTTCAATGAGAGTTCAACAACAGCCACACCAACAACAACATCAGAGGCAATAGCAGTAACAACATTATCATTAATATTATTAACAGCCCAAACAGCACCAAACAGCAATAACAAAAGTCCGCATCGCGGAATCCCACTTCAGCCACGCACCCAGGGGCAGTGAATGACCGTTCGTCCCCCTCACTCTGACAAATGCGCGCGGCGCTGATGCGAGAGCCACATTTTGAAAAGGAATCGCCTCCACTCTCCCTTGCAACTGCTGCACACTTTTAAGACGAATGTGCGCGGCGCTCCGGCGAGAGCCACATTTTGAAAACCATCCGTCCTCTATCCTTCAAAGTGTTGCGCACGTCTAAGACGAATGTGCTCAGCGTAAGGGCGAGAAACACATTTTGAATATGAACCCGGCGCGACCCCACTTAGGGGAACGCTTGGTAAACGGCGTTGCTTAGAAATGATTGGTATTGCATTGCTTTGCTTTGTATTGTATTGCATTTTTTTGGTGATGCTTTGCGTTGCTTGGTGTTCCTCAGCATTGCTTGACAATGCTTGGCGTTGCTTTGCGTTGCTTGGCGTTGCTTGGCATTGCTTTGCATCGCTTGGCATTGCATCGCGCTGATTGACGTTGCGTGGCGTTACTTAGCGTTGCTTTGAATTGCTTGGCGTTGCATGGCATTGCTTGGCACTGCTTGGCGTTGCTTTGCACGGCGTTACATTGCTTGGCGTTGCTTGGCATTGCTTGGCATTGCTTGGCATTGCTTGGCGTTGCTTGGCGTTGGTCGGCGTTGCTCGGCACTGCTCGGTGTTGTTACGCACTGCTTTGTTTTGCTTAGAGTTGCTTGACGTGGCCTGACGTTGCCTAGCGTTGCCTAGCACTGCTTGGAAGCTAAACCGACAACCAGGGCAGGGAAACCGAGGAACCCGGGGAACCCGAGGAACCTGTGGGGAACGGGCAACGTAAGAACACGAGGCATCGGGGGTGGGGAACCCGAGGAACCTGGGTAATCTTTGGGGGAGGGGCAACGTAAGAATACGAGGCGCCAACCTTTGACCAAGTAAGAACCCTCTAGGAAAGCCGAATTGGGGAACGACCCGCTCTCCATCCTTGAAGTCGTCGCAAATTTCAAGCTCCAGGATCATGAATGGTCTCAGGCGAAACGCCCGGCCCGCCCTACTGACACGTCTGAAAATTTCGACAGGGAGGAGTTCGGAGGTTGGGGGGTGAGATCGCAGTGGGACGGAGACCCTCAACCGGGAAATCGTTTCGTTTCGTTCGTGTCGTGCGTGCGGGCGAGGCGAAGCTGCGTGGGCGCGCCAGAGGAATGAACCCGCCGTTGCTAGGGCGAAGTCAAGACAAATATTGCTCCCCCGTCCGTCCGTCCGTCCGTCCGGCGGTGGCTCACGGTGTCCCGCGGTGTCCCGTGGTGTCCCGTGGTGTCCGTCGTTGCTAGGGCGAAGTCAAGACAAATGATTCCCCCCCGCCCGCCCGTCCGTCCGTCCGTCGGGCGGTGGCTCGCGGTGGCTCGCGGTGTCCCGTGGTGTCCCGCGGTGTCCCGTGGTGTCCCGTGGTGTCCCGTTGAGTGAGATCGATCGTGAGATCGATACTGAGATCGATGTGGTGCCCCGAGGTGTCCCGTGGTGTCCCGTGGTGTCCCAAAAAGTGAGATCGATAGTAAGATTGACAGTGAGATCGACAGGTGTCCCGTGGTGTCCCGTGGTGTCCCGTGCTGTCCCGTGCTGTCCCGCGGTGTCCCGTTGAGTGAGATCGATAGTGAGATCGATATTGAGATCGATGTGGTGCCCCGAGGTGTCCCGCGGTGTCCCGTGGTGTCTCAAGAAGTGGGATCGATAGTGAGATCGATAGTGAGATCGACAGGTGTCCCGTGGTGTCCCGTGGTGTCCCGTTGAGTGAGATCGATAGTGATATCGATAGTGATATCGATGTAGTGTCCCGTGGTGTCCCGTGGTGTCCCATGGTGTCCCATGGTGTCCCGTTGAGTGAGATCGATAATGAGATCGATAGTGAGACCGATAGTGAGATCGAGAGGTGTCCCGCGGTGTCCCTCAGTGTCTCGTGGTGTCCCTTGGTGTCCCGAGGTGTCCCGTTGAGTGAGATCGATAGTGAAATCGATAGTGAGATCGACAAGTGTCCCGTGGTGTCCCGTGGTGTCCCGTTGAGTGAGATCGATAGTGAGATCGATTGAGTCAGATGTTGGTTACCCCTCCTCTCCCCCCCCCACAACCTCCTTATCACCCGAAGGGTGGTCGTATAGGTATTTATGAAGGCAAGGGGTGAAATAGGATGAGTAGGAGGAGGAGGAGGAGGAGAAGGAGGAGGAGGAGGAGGAGGAGGAGGAGGAAGAGGAGGAGGAGGAGGAGGAGGAGGAGTGAGAATTCTTCACGCTTCGCGTATCCCCACCAGCCCATCTCAAAACAGCAACTCTTGCGAAGCATGCCGACAGTCGTGTTTTTCAGGCGTGTTTCCGCCTGCCCCCGCATATCTCCCCTGTTCCTCCTTCCTCCCGCCTCCTTGTACATCCTCCTTGTGGTGGGAGCGGGAGAAGGACGAGGCGGAGGAGGAGGGAGAGAAAGCGCTCCTCGTGGTTTGAGTCGTTTGGGGTTTCTCGTCCTGGTGTGAGTCGTTCGGGCCCTTCTTCCTGGTGTGAGTCGTTCGGGCTCTTCGTGGTGTGAGTCGTTCGGGCTCTTCGTCCTGGTGTGAGTCGTTCGGGCTTCTCGTGGTGTGAGTTGTTCGGGCCCCTCGTCCTGGTGTGAGTCGTTCGGGCCCCTCCTCCTGGTGTGACTCGTTCGGGCTCCTCGTGGTGTGAGTCGTTCGGGGCCCTCGTCGTGGTGTGAGTCGTTCGGGCTCCTCGTGGTGTGAGTCGTTCGGGCGCCTCGTCCTGGTGTGAGTCGTTCGGGCCCCTCCTTCTGGTGTGAGTCGTTCGGGCTCTTCGTGGTGTGAGTCGTTCGGGCCCCTCGTCCTGGTATGAGTCGTTCGGGCTCCTCGTGGCGTGAGGTGTTCGGGCACCTCGTCCTGGTGCAAGTCGTTCGGGCCCCTCGTAGTAGGAGTAGTAGTAGTAGTAGTAGTAGTAGATGTCTTTCGGGAGCCTCTTGGAGGCCTTTTGGGGCGTCTTGGGGGCCTCTTGGCGGCCCCAGGGGCTTCTAGGAGCGTCTTGGGTGCCTTGGGTGAGCCTCTTCGGGCTTCTTGGGAGCCTCTTGGAGGCCGTTTGGGGCGTCTTGGGGGCCTCTCGGCGGCCCCAGGGGCTTCCAGGAGCGTCTTGGGTGCCTCGGGGGAGTCTCTTGGGGCTTCTTGGGGGCCTCTTGGGGGCCTCTTGGGGGCCTCTTGGAGGCCTCTTGGGGCCTCTTGGGGCTCTTTGGGAGGGGTCTGGGAGGTATCTTGGGGCCATCTTTCGGGCGATCGATCACAGCTGGGGCGGTTTTTTTCTCCCCCCCCCCGTCGGGGCCAGAATCCTCGTGAGGGGTGTCGTTTTTTTAGCCCTCCCAGGAGTCGAAAAAGACCCCTCCAACCACCCGCGAAAGGACCTCTCCAGGTCCAGGGGGAGGGGGTAGGGGGAGGGGTAAACCCCTCCCCGAAGGGGAAGAAGGGGGTTGAGAACAGAGCGGGCTCTCTAAACCACTCACGCCCAAAGGGCTGGTGGGATTATGTGGTTTGCTTCCAGGGTGGGGGCCCCCTTTCCCAGGACGCCCCGTTCACCGGGCACCCAGGCACCAGACTGACCGCTTCCCCGTTTTCCTATTCGTTATCCGCGTCGCTCTCTGCCTTGGCCACCGCGTTGAATACAATCAGTGCGCCGGAACAGGAGTTATGGTTCTTCTGGGGCTGTGCTTGTCTTGAGGCGTTCTGGGGGTGTCTTCCGGCTCACAGGGGGGTCTTCCCAGCACTCACAAGTCGTTTGGAACCTCAGAAAGCCTTCGGAAGCCGAATGCAAAGTACTCGCTGGGCCCAGCACTCCCCCTCAAATGAGAGATCTGAGATTCTGGGGGATGGGGTCTGGACGGGGAAGTCGTACCCCACGCCTTGTGACCCCGAATGGGTCGGCAAACTTGCGAGCTGTGCCTTGACCGAACCCTGAAAACGTAGACCTTCCACTGCGCCGCGTTGTGGGCCAGCATGCCTGCTGTAGCCATTCACGCTTCGGGTCACCACTCTCTCGGACCCCGTCTTGGTAACAGCCTGCCTGGGCTTGCGCTCGATGTCTCCCAGAGCTCCTGTTCTGTCAGATTGCCCAGGGGCGCTCTTCGCTGGGCAAGCGATGATGCGCATCGCTTCCGGGCACTTGCGGCCCTCCCGTTGTTGTATCAGGTTTTCCGACCCTCTTGCAACCCTGAGGCGTCCGTGGGTCTCAATGTCTCCCGTCTGCTTCCACCATCATCGGCCCCTTCTTCTCCTGCCTCGGTCACTCACCCCAGGGCAACCGTCACGTAGCTGATACCGCCTCCGCCATTCAACGGATGCGTGTGGGCCAGCGCATGTCTTGCAATCGGGCGTCTTTTTGCCGCTTTTGTGATTCAGCCGATCGCTGGTTCGAGCCGCCAGTGCCCGTCGGCTAATTGGGCCTCCCCTCTCCTCCCGTGCAGCCACACCCCCGTGCCATCCGCCCTTGACGCTCGCCGTTGCCTTCTCCCTCTCGTTCCCGTCCAAGGGTGTCTCCGCTTCTGCCGTTGGGCCTGCAGAGGACACCGTGCCCTGGACCCTGGCGCTCTCGTGCCTCTCCGCCATCCTGGGCTTCGTGCTGGCGAGGTGTCTCGCCGCCGCGGCCTGTGCGGAGAAGGACCGGCGCAAGGAAGGCAGGGGAAGGCTACGCTGCCGGCGCCGAAGCCGTGAGGGTAGCCGGTGGTGGGAACGGGGGGAACATGTGCCGAGGGTAAGCCCACGGATGAGCATGAGCTCGTTCGGGGAGCTCGCTCCGTCTCCTCGGAGAGGCTTCCTGTCAGGCAGGGTGCCCGCCAGCGACCTACTAGACGGGGGCCTGGCTCAGACAGCGCACGTGCTCCCGCTCAGGACGAGCCCAGCTACCAGACAGTGCAGAGCATCAGGCTGGTGTACGACGGCGAGGACGGTCCAGACGAGGAGGTCCTCGCTCCACTTTCGCGGCTCCGTCAGTCAGTCGACCGGCGGGGGGCCTCCTTTCGGGGAAGCGTTAAGACCCGAGTAAGCCGGAACTCGGGTTAGCCGACGTTTTTTTGACGATCGCGTGGGTTTTGACGGTCCGATGGTCGTGGGATGTTTGCAGCGGGAGCTCGCGTCAAATTTCAGATTGGGTCTCGTCATTTTTGTTGATGGCCCCGTCAGGCCAACTCGAGTCCCCCGTATCCGATTCTTACGTTTTCCCGATCCTTTGCCCTCTCGCCAAACACCCCTGCTCTTGATATTGTTTTCCTCCTGTGCTCAGCCTGATGGGGGCAGGGTTTGCGAAGCAGCAGCAGGCCGCGGCGGGTCAGCGCCAGCTTTGGTTGTGGGGCTCGTGGATTACCTCCCGTTGCCGTCGCAGCTGACAGAAGTGCACGTCAGTCATTGTGCCCTCGGAAGCGTTGTCGTCGATGGCGCAGCTGCGCGCGAAGGGTTGTTTCCACTATGTTCTAACACCCTTGTGTTTATCCAAGATGGCGGCTTTTTTTGTCCAGAGGCCTCCAGAGGGATCGAGACGGCCCAAGAGGGCGGCACTATGCCAACAGGATTGCTTCAGCGTGCTTCAGGAGGCGCGCCAGACAGCCAAACAAGCCCCAAGTCTGCACAATACGCTCGAATATTGCACCAATATTGCACCCAGAGGCTCCAAGATGGCTCCGCGCAAGCCCCCAGAGAGGCGAACATCAAACCATCCCAGTAGGTCAGCACGCATGCTTTCAAAACCTTCCTTTGCAGCTCAAAACGGTTGAAAGATGCGCCCCTGAGACTTCCAAGAGAGTCCAAAGGGGGCCACAAGAGTTCCCAAGATGGCCCAATGTGCTTCCACATTCGTCCAACATGGCATCCCGACGGCACGAAGACCCCCTCCAGCCAGCCCCCAGTCCTTGCAAATATGCCCCACGAGGCCGCAGTATTGTCCGAAGAGGGCTCCGATGAGTCTAAAACGCCCCAAGATAGCCTTTAAGATGGCCCCAAGATAGGACAACCCAGAAATCTCGCGCGCCTTCATGGGTAACGTGCTTTCCGTCCCCGTGCCGACCAGGTGTCAAAAATGGCGCGTAGCATGCGATTCGTTAGTTGCGCTTCGTAGTTTAATAAGGAGAGTGCGAGGGGGTTCGTGGGCGGGGCGGGCAGATGACGCATAGCGTGCGTAGCGTGCGATCCGTTAGTTTGGTGAAGCGATGAACTGGGGAGTGTGCGAGGGGGCATTATTGGATGGGCCCCAGAGTGACGGAAAGCGCGCGTATCATGAGACCCGCTATCGTGAGCGAAGCGACCCATCGGGGAATTCGAGGCGCTTTGCGGGCCCAGGCCCAGATGAGCGACGCAAAAAAAGGGGCTCGTCCGCGTCGACATTGGCGCGGAAGCTGCCCGCGTAAGGTGGCGCGTAGGTGCCCTCGTCTCCAGCGTAGCGTGCCGCGCTGGCGGTCCGCGTGAGCCGCGGCATGAGGTCGCTGTGCCATCTCGCGTAAGGCCCGTTTTTGGATCGTCGCCCCGATGGCGCGCAGAAAAGTGTGATACAACAGCACATATGATAAGCGTGTCAATCACAAGACATTTTTTCCACACGTGTTTTTGTTATCGCACTTGTTTTTTTTCCATCACGCTTGGTGTTCTGGATCACATTTGATTGTTTGTTTCTTTGCTGCGTTTACTTGGTATCGCACTTGTTTTTTTGTCACACTTGTTTTTCTTATGACTCTTGTGCTTGATCACACTCGTTTTCAAATATCACGTTTGTTTATTACTGCACTTGTTTTTTATCATATCACATTTGTTCCCCAAATCCAACATGGGATTCTTGCTTTTCCGGGACACCCTGCGCAGGAACAGGAACACCCCCTCCCTTCTCACTCGCACACTCACACACTCACATCAACATCACAATCACCGCATCATCATCACTTGTACACGCACACACTTTCATTCCCAACTCATTCACTCACTCACAAGTACTATTCATCACTCATCATCATCATCCTCGTTATCACAGCACCATCGTCAACAGAGCCTCGTCTGTGAGTGAATTGCGAGGAAGTCTCAGGCGGACGCCCCCTCCCCATGGGGCCCGCCGCTCATGTTTTTAATCCGAGCGGGTCATCGGAATCCTATAGCTGTCGTCACTTTTGGGCCCTTGAGGCTTGAATGTGGAGGGAGTATCAGGCGGGAGCCTCGTCTGTGAGTGAATTGCGAGGGATTCTTAGGCGGGAACCCTCTCCCTACGGGGCCCGCCGCTTGGACATGGAGGAAGTATCAGGCGGGAACCTCGCCTGTGAGTGAATTGCGGGGAGGTCTCAAGCGGAAGCCCCCCCCTATGGGCCCGTCGTTCATGTTTTTAATCCGAGCGGGTCATCGGGATCTTGTAGCTGTCGTCACATTAGAGCCCTTGAGGCTTGAATGTGGAGGAAGTATCAGGCGGGAGTTTCGTCTGTGAGTGAATTACGAGGAAGTCTCAGGCTGGAGCCCCCTACGTATGGGGCCCGCCGTTCATGTTTTTAATCCGAGCGGGTCATCGGGATCTTGTAGCTGTCGTCACATTAGAGCCCTTGAGGCTTGAATGTGGAGGAAGTATCAGGCGGGAGTTTCGTCTGTGAGTGAATTACGAGGAAGTCTCAGGCTGGAGCCCCCTACGTATGGGGCCCGTCGTTCATGTTTTTGATCCGAGCGGGTCATCGGGATCTTGTAGCTGTCGTCACTTTTAAGTCCCTGAGGCTTGCATTTGATTGGAGGAAGTATCGGGCGGTAGCCTCGTCTGTGAGTGAACTGCGAGGAAGTCTCAAGAGGGAGCCCTCTCCCTATGGGGCCCGCCGTTCATGTTTTTAATCTGAGCGTGTCATCAGGATCCTGTATCTGTTGCCACTGTTGGGCCCCTGAGGCTTGGATATGGAGGATGTCTCAGGCGGGAGCTTCGTCTTTGAATGAATTGCGAGGAAGTCTCACGCGGAAGCCCCCTCCCTATGGGGCCCGCCGTTCATGTTTTTAATCCGAGCGGGTCATCGGGATCTTGTAACTGTCGTTATTTCTGGGCCCCTGAGGCTTGGATATGGAGGATGTCTCAAGCGGGAGCCTCGTCTGTGAGTGGATTGCGAGGAAGTCCCAGGATGGAGCCCTCTCCCTATGGGCCCGCCGCTCATGTTTTTAATCCGAGCGGTTCATCGGGACTTTATAACTGTCGCCACTTTTGAGCCTCTGAGGCTTGGGGCTTGGATGTAGAGGAAGTATCCGGCGGGTGGCGGCCTCGCTGTACATCGCGCTGGACCTTCGCGCATGCCACGACGCAGTGACACGCGCGACGTGCAGGAGTCTACGTGCAAGCGGCCGCACCACTGCTTCGGGCGCGTCCCCATCGTGTTGCACCTCTGCGATTTCCTTCAGCTGAAGCCCACGGGCAGCATCGGCTTCCTGACGGACGTGAGCGCGTGAACGAGTTCCTGGGCGACGGGTCCTACAAGTACGCGGAGCCGCCGACGCTGGATATTCAGCACGCCATCAAGGTCTTCTCTCAGATCCCCTGCGCCTTCGAGCTGCAAGGCACGAGGCGCTTCGAGCCCAGGGACCCTCAGATCACGTTCTTGGGCTGCATGCGGGAGGGCAAACCCTTCCCGCCAGAGGTCTGGTCCGCCTGGGAAAGGACGTTGGCCTCAGACAGCCGCGGCGTCCTGGACCCTCGGCACCAGCGCGAGAACTGTCGGCTCGGCTACGGCATGGGTGTCAACTGGGAGACGCTGGCGAGGTGGATCAACGCGCGCGCTCGTCGCGACGCGCGGCGTCTGGGCGTGCCCCTCGTTTTCTTAGCCTGTTGGCCGTGGGCGAGTGCAACGCGATCCAGGGCGATCCCGACGCGGGCCGGTGCCTCCTGAACGTCCCGAACACGCGCAAGACGGGTGACATCCACGGCGTCTTACCGCCCCACGGCGGCGTGGAGGTGCGATTCACGGCAGCGCAGGAAAAGCTGAAGAAGAAGTTGGGGCTCGTGCAGGAGCAACGGGCCACCGTCGTATCCTTCCAGTTTCACCCCGAGGACGAGCGGCGGTGCGAGGACTGCTCGCCAGGCCAGCTCCTCTGCCCCCGCTACCTAGCGCGGGGAATCCGGCTGCAGGTGTGCGTCTTCAAGGTGTCTCCGATCTACCAGGAGGTCGCCGAGGAGCGGCGACAGGGCGCCGAAGGCGCCGACGACGCCGGCGCTTGCTCCTGTTCAGGCCTGGCGAGCAGGAGCTCACGCGGCAGAACTCGGGGCCGCGCGCCATGCGCCGCTCGAGGTTCTCCATGACGCACGCGTCGTACCTCACCTCCACGCTGTCGCAGGGCCAGACGCTGCGCGAGGGCGCCACCGTCGACTGCGCGAGGGGCGAGGACGCCGGTCGCACGGGCATGTGGACGAGCAGTGGTGGCCGCGCCTCTCGTCATTTTCTCCCGCGCCACGCGCTGCCGCCGCCGCGAAAGTTCCCGGGGCGAGGGCCGCCGGCGTCCTCGCGGAAGGCGTTCCTGGGGTTCGACGTCAAAGCGGAGAGCTCCAGGGCAGAGGCGGGGCAGCTCGCGGCAATGCTGGGCTTCGTGCTGTCCCCCGCTTGAGCGCGGCGGCGCCCCGCGCGGAACCCGCGGGTTTGTCCCAATGGTTTGGTCTCGGGCGCCAGCGGCTCGCGGGTTGTCCCGACGGCTTTGCGGGGCTGTCCCCCGCGTCTGCGCGATTTCGCCGTCGGAGAACGCGCCCCTGCCAGGCGCGGCGGCGAGGGCGCCGAGGAAAATCGACTCGCGCGCCCCTGCCGGGAGGGAGGAGAGGTGCAGGAGGATAACGAGCGGGACGGCGATGGGGAGGGGGCGAAGGAGGGTGAGGTGGAGGAGGGCAGGGCAGAGGCTGAGGAGGAGGAGGAGGAGGAGGAGGAGGAGGAGGAGGAGGAGGAGGAGGAACATGAGGAGGAGAGGGGGGAAATAGAAGAGGCGGA